AGATTGTGTCCAAGAAAATTCTGAAGTCAAAGCTGGAAGTATAGGTCCAGCTGTAAGTGTGGGCCATGAAGGTAAAAGGCCCCAGGAGCCAACGTGTGTGACATGAGAAAGAGTCCATGGAGCATGAGCCTGACACAGTGCGTGTGCCAAGGGCACCACTATGTGACAGTCTCAATCCTGCAGCAAGTCAGATCCTCTTACGAGCAGTCTGTGGGATCTGCTTATTCCCATCCAGAGGATCTCTGAGAATGAGTTCTTGCTCAGCTACCACATGAGACATTCTGGTTCTGTTTTTTTCCACTTCACTTGTAAAGGCCAGTTAAGGCCAATGCAGCATGACCATCCTGAGCGGGGTAATTCACAGGTGCATTCTGTTGAACTAGATTGGGACAATTGGCAACATCATAGGGAGTCATGAAAATAAGTAAAAACAAAAAAACACAGATTGTTAAGCAGAGACAACGGCTGAAATGATCAGATTTCCAGCAGAAGCTGTGGGCAAGATATGACTTAGGCTATGCCCCGTGAAGCAGAGCTGCAGAGAGAGAAGATCTCTGCAAATAGAAGCCACAGCTTACACTCAAAAGGACAATCCAGTTGGGGGAAGAGGCAGCCTAGTGCAGCAGTCAAGGGCAGGGGCTTGGGGATGAGGCAGACCTGGGATTGCTCTACCACAAACTGGAGCAAGTTTCAGTTTTTCTCATCTTTAAAAGATTTGAACATACACTAAAAATTCTCTGGATGGACACATGTCTTAGGAGAAGACTGCGCAGATGGGGACCGAGATGGGATTTTTCACTTTATACGTTTTCATTTTTGAACCATGTGCATATATGCCCTTTTAAAAAGAGTAAATGAAAACAAAAAGACAAGTGATTATAGTTTATACCTTATAGGATTATACAGGCCTGATGGATGGTAATTACATAAATTTGCTGTTATCATTATTATAAATACAGAGATGCTGGCTGGGTCATCTCTCAGTGTTTTTTTGCCCTTAAATACCCAGAAGTCTCTATCACATATCCAGATGGATGCCCTACATGAACTGGCCTTACATTACGCATATTATCAATGGTACAGATTCAGCCCCTTAAAAGTAGTCTTGTAAATGGATAAAATGAATAAATTAGTACCACTTGCAAATTAGATTGTAACATGTATTTCTTTCTTTCTTTCTTTCTTTTTTTACTTTTAACACATTATAGGAAATTATGTTAAATGATTGGCAATGGCAACTGGCAAAGATCCAGAAGGTTTGTTATTGATATATAACATATATAACCTTCACCTATATTCACCAGTTGTTAACATTTTTGCCACATTTGCATTCTCTCTGTCTTTCATACACATACAGACACATACATAGTTTTTTTATGAACCGTTTGAAAGTTGTAGATATGACACTTTTATTTCTAAATACTTCAACATGTGTCTTCTGAGTACAAGCACATCCTTCCATATAATCGCAATACAATGATCAAACTCAGGAAGTTTATCCATCACTTAAGACAATTGTCTAATGTATAATCCATATTCAGTGTTTCCAAGTGTCCTAGCTGTTTACTTTTTGATTCAGAATCCTATGTAAGATCTTCCTTTGCATTTGGCTAGAGCATTCAAGGAGGCTTGTTTTGTCTTTCATGACACTGGCATTTTTGAAGAGTCTAAGTCAGATTCTGCCCTACCCTCCTTGTCCCAGTGTCCTTTAGTTTCTATCTTTCTGATTGTTTCCATATAACTAGACTCAAGTTAAATGTTTTTGGCAGGAACACTATAATAAATAATGTTCCAGTGCCACCTTTTATAATATTTTTCCCCCTTTTAAGTGTGTGAAGTCAGGAGTAATTGTTCAAAATTCTAATATTCTTATTTTCAGATATCCAGCAGGTCAGTTATTGATAAGTGACTCTTGTCATCACATCATAATTGAGGCACTGGGCTGTTTGTGCAGATCACTTGATTTAAGGGTGACCTACCTGGGATCTCTCCTTCATCAAACCATGGATTCCTGCAGTGAGTTCCTGTTCTGTCTTACAAAGAAATATGCTCTGGTTATTCATGTTCTGTGTATGACCTCTTGACAGTTGTTGATCTTTTGCAGCCTTCTGAGGGAAATTGAGCAGATCCGGAGTAGGAGATGTTGGCCTCAAGGAGGGAGCCAGCAATATTCTGAGGATTCTGGGAATGGCACCTCACTATGGGGGCACTTGCTGAAATTGAACTACCACAGTGCCCAGAGTTCTAATACAGTGAGTTCTGCAATGTGCACGAATGCAGATAAGCTACAGAGGGCTAAAAGCGTGGACTTGGCACCTCACACAATTTCAGATAAATCAAAAGGTGCAGAAAAGGGAAAAAGGTTTGGAGACCCATTACTTCCATTTCTGCTGAGGAAAAGACCCAACAGAAGACACAAAATAATATTGAAATGTAGAATGGCCCAAAAAAAGAAGCATCGGAGAGAAAAAAAGATCATTGCTTTTAGATTATATCTGTAGGTAAAATGTATGGTGTAGTAAAGTTTTCACAGTTAAGGATTTTTGTCAGCTGAAGTAGAGAGTGGAAAAGACCAAATTACCAGCATCCCCTGCTATGGCCTCTTAGCACAAATCCCTGCGAATCCATATCTGAGCTCATCTCAGAAAGGTAGCTTTTTCATAGCCTAGATTACAGTTCAATTCCTCAGAAGTATTTATTTTTTCCAGAGATCTCAGTTTGAGAGAAAATCGTCAAAGACCTCAAGTGATGCTAATAAAGAATAAAAATTATCATGGGTTCTTTCATGTCTGTAATTTTTTTCTACTTGTCTTTAGAACTCTTTGATGAGATATTTTCTTTTATAACTCCTAGGAGTGATGTTAATCAAGGTCTAGGGATTTGATTTTTTAGCCCCTTAAAATATTGTAACACATTTTGCTAAGAACAATTTTTAGTGATTCACACTTCTATGGTAGGTATATGAATGTTGATCTCACAGGGTTCCATATCTAAAAAGCATACTGAAGCAATGTTATAAAGTTCTACTTGTGTTACTTTTATATTGCTATAGTTTATCTATTTTGAATTTATGAATTAATTCTCCATGTAAATGAAATTGACAATTGCTATTACCGAAAATTTAAAAATAAAACACAAATAAGAAAAGGTATAAGTTGGAATAAACTGAAACCATAAAGTAAGTTTAAAGTACCAGAATCCATGGACTTGATAGCATATATGTTTTAAACATTTTAATTGCCTCTCATTTTATCAATGATTTGTAAGATACTGCCCATTAACTCTTCAGGATTACTTAATGGCTACCTTCTTCCTTATATTCTAACTAAATTTTATCTAGTCTGTTAGGAAGCCAAATGAAAGAACGGGCTCAGCTATATGACCTTAGGAAAGTTATTTCCTTTCTCTTAGACTCATGTGTTACTTACCAAATGGAGAAGTTTTTTTTAAACAAAATTAAATTTTTTTTTCAATTACAAGCGACATTCAACATTATTAGTTTCAGGTGTACATCATAGTGGTTTGACATATAACTTACAAAGTAATTCCTCCCATAAGTTTTAGTACCCAGCTGACACATACATAGAGTTATTACAATGTTATTGACTATATTCCCTAAACTGTACATCCCTGTGACTATTTCATAACTGCCAATTTGTACTTAATCCTTTCACCCTTTTCACTCAGCCTCCCAACCCCCCTTCTATCTGGCAACCATCAGTTTCTAAAGATGGGAGAAATTATGCACCCACTTTTTAGGATTACTGAGAGGATCACATAAGATAATGCCCACAGCATGTTCTTTGATACAGGTAGTTATTAGCTGTCACTATTTAACCCAGAGGCTTCGTTTTTCCATGAAACATCTCCTGACCACACCCCTCCAGCCCACAATTTAAGCCTACACTAATGCTCTGTTATGCGTCTTAAATCGTGCCCCACCTATTGTACATATGGCGGTATGGCCTCCCAGGCAAAGTGCCAGCCTTAAGAATTATTCCCCATGCTCCACCTAGCGCCCTGCTGGACAGTAACCACAGTAACCAACAGCTTGAGAAGTCCTCGCAGTTCAGTGATTCTCAGCCGGGTCCTGGGTGGGCTGCGTCAGTCTTTCCTGCTGGAGCCGATTCTGCCCCAGTCGCGTGGTGGGGATTACTGTTTACTTGGCTTTGGTAGAACCACAATGCACAGAACAGGTGCAGCCTAACAGGTCTGAGAGAAGACAGGTGCACTGCGCCTTTGAATGTGGGCAGGAGTTGGGTAGCCAGGAGCAGGAGCTGGTAGCGGTGTCTGGAGTGCTTCCTTAGCGAGCCAGAAATCTCGGGAGGGGCACTGGCCTTCTAGGCTGTGTAGAACGGTGGTGGTGGTGGGGGGTGCCCTTCAAACACATCAGCCCACGTGTGAAGCGTCGGCTCAACTGCCCCCTCACGGGCTGCACTGAAAGGATCCAAGCTGGATTCGTCCCAGACCCGCTCCCGCGATCCACGGAGATCCAGAATTCAGAGGCCATTAATGTCGAGAGTTCATCCCCTGAAGCCAGGGCCTGAGGCACTGTCAGCGCAGCCAGGATGAGGGGACAGTCACAGACCGCGGGAGGAAGAGGCTGCAAAGTTCAGCGGGTGGGGTGGTGCTAAGGTCACGTTTAGTGGCCCAGGGGCGGTAACGAGTCATCCCCTTCCATGTGGCCTCCTCCTGATCTGGCGTTCGCCCAACCGCTCGGCCACCTAGGAAAGCCGCAGGTCTAGAAGTGCCTGCTTTCAACACGGCTCTTGGCCCTTGCCGCCCCACCCTTGCCTCCCAGGCCCCACCCAC